ACCAGTGGTGGGGGATTATGATGATGGATCAGGTTTAATGGTTTTGTAGAATTTTATTAAACAGTGACTGTAAAAATTGGTTTCTTTTAATAACAACCCTCTACCCCCCCCCCAAAAAAAAAAAGATTCTGGAGTGTTTTTCTTGTCTTTTAAAGATGGTAATTAGGAATAAAAAGCACTTAAAAAGTCTTAAGATGGTATCAGGGAATCTATAAATTAATTGGAAGCATCAAAGCATAGTTAGAAATATGTTGCATGATTAGATTAGCTTTTAAATTTTCATGGGCTTGAAGTCAATCCTGTATTAGAAGTATCATGTGGCTTTGTGGAAATAATAGTCTTCAAAGCATTTTACAGTTTTTAATTCTTAGTTTCACAATGACTGGATAAGTCAAAGGTGCACATGGTCTAAAGCCATCTCACCATGTAAGACATTGCACTAAAATGCTGAAGATGAGCATGAGGCCAACTTTATTTGACCTAAAGCTTGTTCCTGGCTATCTTCACATAGAGAAGGTTCTGGCAGAATTTTTGTAAGTGTCCTCCAGGTTTACAGAAATCTCTCTGTAATCTGTAAGCTGGGAGTCAGGGGAATCCATGGGTTGTCTTTACTCTTCCATGTGTGGGGAAAATTTCTCCTTCAGTCAGATTGTAACCTAAGTAATGGACCTCTTTTTGATAAATCTGAAGTTTTCCAGCCTTTGGTGCTGGTAGAGTACGTGCTGTCGGAGAAGAACTGAGTTTTTCAGATTCTATTTTGGTAGGGAACACAGTATCAGATTCTCTGCATAGTAAGTAAGTAAATTTTCCCATGAATTACAGGGCTGATAGTGTAATGCTTGAGACAGATAAGATGGGCCTTTAGTGAACCCACATGACATATAGCCTATGTGTACTGCTGATTGTTAAAGGCAAACAAACTAACAACAACAACAACAAAAACCCAGCTTTCATCAGCTGGAATGCCATAGAAGGAAAAGCAGAGGTCCATCAACGTGAACTGTTTAGAATGTGCAGGCACATCAGATAACAGTGTTAGGATCCAGAATCACCAAGAATCTTGGAATTCCAATTTCATTTATTGCAGATAAGTATACAGAAACCTTCTGCTTCCTCTTAGGTTTTTGCCTGGTAGGATTTATAGACAGATTTTTATTTCCTTTGGGCCTCCATATCTCTCTCTCTCTCTCTCTCTCTCTCTCTCTCTCTCTCTCTCTCTCTCTCTCTCACACACACACACACACACACACACACAAAGACATGGAGACTTATTATTATGAAAGCTCGGTCTATAGCTTAGGCTTGTCCTACTAGCTCTTATAACTTAAATGAACCCATTTCTATTCATCTATGTGCTGCTGTGTGACTTGTGTGGCTTTTACCTCTCTTCCTGCATGTCTGGCTCCCTCTGCCTCTGGCTGGGGACCCCACCTTTCTTCTGCACAGAGCTCTCTGTCCAGAGGTCCTGCCTATACCTCCTGACTCCCTATTGGCCGTTTAGCTTTTTATTAAAGCAATCACAGGTGACATATCTTTACATAGTGTGATCAAATATGTCACAACAAGGGTTGGAGTGCCTCAGGCATCAGTTAGTCGGAGCTATTTCGTGACCTTGTCTTGACCCCCACCCCCACACAGTTAGTGAAAGTCCTTCGACTCGACAGCTTTAGGAAGTGGGACAATTGAAGTAATGGCCGGTCTACTTGGATATTTATACCTGGACTTTTCCCTGTGCTGGCTGGAGAGGAAACCTACAAGTGACTGGGAGCTTAGAGAGGTCTGGGTTTCTATTTTATCAGTCCCTGTTTGTGAGGAGCAGTGTAGCCCTCAGACTCCAGAGAATCAGAGAACCCTGGAATCATTTCTTCCTCCAGAGAGAGCTTGGTGTGTCCCCTCAGGGCCGAAGGCTCTTTTCATCCCACTGCCGCACAGTAGGAAGGAAGCACACTTCTGAGAATGCTGCAGAAGACGTGTGAACTGGTCCGGCAGAGATTTCTCTGGATTTGATTTGAACCCCACCCACCCCACTGAAATACTTTCTTTATACGGAGGGGGTTTGCTGATTTTCTAGAGTGGAGTGTAAAGCAGCGAGGGTGGACTTTTGTTCTCCCAGTGGTGTGCGCACGTGTGATTTCCCACTGATTTTGATCTGTGCCTGCCCATGCTTATTGCAGTGTGTTACTGGAAGTGATGTAGTAGCCCCATTGGCATTGGCCTTTATTTCAAGAGTGGAGACCCTGAGGGGTCACTGGATGGAGACAGGTCTCTACCAAAAAGGCCTGGCTTTTTTGGAAGACTGGTAGCGTAAGTCTCCTTTCTTTGAGTGTGACTCTGTAGTGGCGACAGAAATCTGTAGGTACAGGGTCTCTTGGTTTAGGACCTCTTGAGATCAGACTTGAGAGGAAAAACTCTTGCTCTTTGTCCCTATAGCTTTTTTTAGTCACAAGGACATGAGACTCGGGATTCTTTTCCTTCCTTATTTATTTTTATAATATTTTAGTGTGTGTGTTTGTGTGTGTGTGTGTGTGTGTGTGTGTGTGTGTGTGTGTGTGTGTGTGTGTACATCTGGTGACCAGAGGAAACTTGTAGGAGTCAGCTCTTTTCTTCCCCATGTGGATCATGGGGATTGAACTCAGATCCTCAGGGCTGGCACAGGTGCCTTTACTCATGGACTGAGCTGGTTCTCATCTTGTTCTTTTTGCTCTTTTAAGCTGTTTGGCTGTGGTTCAATCTTCTGTTTCTCTGCAGGTCACCACGCCCTCTGACAAATATCCATAAAAGTCATTTCAGTGCCAGTAAGAAATACTACTGCTTTGAGTCTGCTTAACCTTGGTGTGTGATGTTTTTATTTATTTGCAAGGTTTCCTTTTTTCTTTGTAATAACAAGGTTTATAGAATTAGAAAGAGAAATACTCAAGCTGTGTTCTTAATGACAATGTTTAATGAGCGAGATTCCTAATCTAGGACTGCAATCAGAATGAGTCATCTGTTTGTTTTCCTGCTTACATGATTGAATAATAGACCATTCAGTCTCCTGTGGGAAGACAGTGGGAAAAGCTTGCATGGGCCTTTCAGCTGTTTGTTGGGTCCCCAGAAGCAGCTTTTGAAGATGGGCCAGTATTTTGCTCAGGCGTATTTCACCTGCTGGAACTCTAATGGACCTGGTCCCTTCCTTTAGTCTGGCTCCTCAGTGTTCCTGGAGGTCACTCGGGTCTCCCTCAAGTTCCACTTCTGCCACTAAACTCCTAGAGAAAATCTTGGGCATAATAACATTTTCAAGTTTGAGTAAGGAACAATTTGTGAATTGGGGACACCAGACTTAAAAGAGGGTCAGTGTTCTAGTTTCCTTGTGGCAGAGGCAGGTATTTATAGGAAAAACGTGGGAGTCAAATTTGCACTTACGAAGTTGCCTTTATAGTTTACCTTGTTGGAACATCCCCAGTCACACAAACATCATAGTTAGTTGGGCGCTTATGATTGGCTGAGGTTAATTTATGTTTCTGTCTAACAAAACCAGAAATGACTAGAAATGACTGGAGTCAAATTTTGCTGATTTTTTTTTTCCAGTTTAAGCCAAGTTGAGGGTATTTTTAATCTCCTTGGACAATTTTAGGGCCAGATTGGTTTCACTTTACCAGGGTCCATGGAGATGGATAAGGGATATAGGAGCTAGGAAATGGCCTTATGGAGAGAGATGGACTTTGTACTGACCACAGAAAGTACAGTGGGAATTTGTAACAAGGATCAGTGGTAAGGTCAGTGGATAGAACACTGCTAAGAAGAAACGTGTCTAGACTGAATCACGGTCCACGGCAGGCCATGGGGAAGGTGGTCAGGATACCAAGGATGGGAGATTTTTCTCCGAAGTGACTTCACAAGATTCTTACTCAGAACGGGCTCTACAGGGATAAAGGAGAACCAGGGAGCCTCGTGAAGCAGTGGACTTGGAGCCTGGTTCAAGGAGAAAGGCTAGGTCCCAGGACATTGTCTTATGATTTGCTCCGTACATTCCCCCAATAATGGGGCCATTGTTGAGGATAACACAGTGACTCCAGAATCAGAACAGCATGCTGTGCTCATGGCCCAGTGCCCCCCCCCGCCCGCACCCCCTCTTCTGTTTTGTTTTACTGTCTGCTCCCTCTATTGCCAGCCCAGCTTTTCCTTGTCTCATAACGATTCTGCTGTCCCCAGGCTTCTCCGAATTCTCTCAGACCTTTCTCTAGGCTTTCTATTTTACTTCCGATAACTCTCCCATGCGCTGACGTTTACAGCTTGACTGACATCTATGGCTCTAACGGGAAATGGAGGCGGGAGATACATCACTCCTCTTCCTGTTCCAGAGGAACAGGTACTGAGAGGGAAGACAGACGAGCAGCCCGACCTGCAGGCTTTCGCTGGGATGCGCACTGTCACAGTTTGGATTGCCTTCAGCACTGTCTCCATGGTTACGCCCCACCCCTCACAAGGCAGGAAGAAAATGCCAGCAGTCATTCTTATTGGAATTCCCCTTATCCTAGAGAAGCTTAAAAGCAGTGAGGAACAGGTCCAGCAATTCACTGTGGGACAAATAAATATTACTTCTAACAGAAATGGAATGTTGTCTGCTGATTTGACCTTTCTCTGGAAGAATAAAGCTTTTTTTCTTAGGAATGGTCATGATTAGTGAGTCAGACCCATATTACAAGGACACATTTCTAAAAGGATGTGTGGCCATGAGGAGTTTCCCCACCCAGTCTGCAAAATAAGAGTGTTGCGCTCAGATCTGTGGCCTGGCAGACGGACACACATTTTTGTGATTTTCTACGTTTATATAGCATATCAAGCTGTCTCAGTCAACTCTGGCAAGTGTGGGAACAAGTAGACTGTTAATGTATTTGGTTGCAGAATCTTGATGTCCCTTTAATTTTGGTAGTTGCTTGGTTATTTTTCGTATTGATTTAAAATTTTGCCTTATAAAATTTTGCTTACTTATATCTTTTTTTTTTTGTATGTGTGATTAGATCACAGCTGGAATTAAGGTCTTGCAAGACACGATACTACAACAGGATAAGCGACTGGCCAAAGCCATGGTTGGTGATGGTTCCTTTCATATCACCTTGCTAGTGATGCAGTTATTAAATGAAGATGAAGTAAACATGTGAGTAATATGTCTTTCTTGAATATTATTGTTCAAATTCTTACTCTACTGTGAGTAAATTTGGACAAACCCAAGGAGGCATTGAGATTCTAAAGAAATATTCTTTATCCTGATTGATAGTCATTGCACAGAGGGTTTTTTATTTTTTATTTGATGTAGCTTAGGTTATCCGTAAACTTGATGTGTCAAGTAGCTGCTTCAGTGCTGAGGTTACAGACACATTCCATTACACTCTTTAATTTTTTTTGTTTGTTTATCGAGACAGGGTTTCTCTCTGTGTAGCCTTGGCTATCCTGGAACTAGCTCTATGGACCAGGCTGGCTTGAACTCTTAGAGATCCACCTTCCTCTGCCCGCTTAGTGCTAGGGTTAAGGTGTGTGCCACACCACCCCGTTTGTTTAGATATTCCTAATCCAGATGTTTTTCCCACTTCGTTGTTGTCAGTGGTATCCCTTGGTTACACAAATGTGTTGCCTATGTTAATTATGCAAAATATTCTGGAGTCTAATTCTAGAGTCTAGGTTGAGACTCTAGGTGAAGATTCTGGAATTATGGCATAACTGCCTTTTATTAGCAGCAGTTAATAAAACCTGACTTAAACTTGCTGTCCCCGTAAATAGTGCTAACACAAGCAAGAGCCCTTAGCATGTGGCCCAGCATATAGCAGTCACTTCCTCTTAGCTGTCTGTCATCAGAGCTGTCATTTTCCCGGGGTGGGGTAGACAACTTTCACCTGCCCCCCCCCCCACTCCCAATCCCCTAAAGGTCAAATGGAAGTCACTGATTACTAGAGTGGAGAATTCCTGTTATCTCCTATGGAGTTTGCTGTGTTAAGTTCAAGCTTGGTCTCTTTGGCAAATAAAAGCCAGAAGGAACTACATATTATTTGTGTTTCTGTCTTGGTCCCTGTGGCTCCTGTGTGAAGGAAAAGCAAGGCTTGGGTTGGGAAGAGAGTGAGGAAAAGATAGACTAAGAGAGGGAAAACAAAATATAGTAGTCGTTCGCCATTGGCCACATTATGATGACCGTAGTTAAGTTCGTTACACAGTAGACCCTCCCATGGGAAGCCAGCAGTCTTCAAGAGCAGAGAGAAGCAGAGATTTGACTTGTTTTATTTCAGCTTATTACTCTACCGATAAGAAAAAAACAAATGCTTTGATGCTTTTCAGAGAGGATAAACCAAAGATGTGGCCCAAGGGCAGTGTAATTGAAGAGGAAGAGTCTTAGCCTGTGTGTTTGGACCGGTGATGAGTCAGGGTTCTCTAAGAACAGAGCAGGTCGGGTGTGTCTACACAGATATCCATTCTCGGTCCATGTAGATGGCTTTGTATATGGAGAGATTTATTTACAGAATTGGCTCACGGGGTTGTGGGTGTCGGTAAGTCTGAAATCTATGGGAAGAACTGGTAGGCTAGGGAGCCAGGGAGGAGTCTCTGCTCTGGGCCAAATCTAGGGGCAGCCTGGGGAGAGGATCCCTCTGCGCTTGGTCTTTTCTCTGAGGTCTTCATCTGGTTTCATGAAGCTGGTCCACATTCTGGAGGAGCAGAATGTGTGATCCATGGTGCAGCCTCTGTTGGGCAGCTCAGTAGAATCAAATGGATGAAATTTTCTGGGGAAACAATTTTTTTTATGTGAACAATTTTTTTAAAAAGCCTCTAAGCTAACCTTTTTGTTCTTCATCCAATATTGTATAGTATGCTAGGTATCTAGATTATCAGCTGCCAGGCCATATTCATTTTTATTCTTCCGAGTGTAGCATCTTATCTTAGGAGTTAGTCGAGCATTCATCAGTAGAGTGGATGGCATTGCAGAGGCATTTTTAAAATCATGAATTGGTTTGGGTAGATATCATGTAAGGTCCTTTTGTGTCTTCAGAGCAGAGAAGAAGTAGAAATGTACTAGGCTAAAAGTAGCTGCTGACTGGTAAGATAGTTGTCCTATCTCAATTTAAATATAACCTTTGGCCTGAATTCAGTTTCAGAAGTCTGTTTGTACATGGATATACTTTTTCTTTTAAAATTAATAAATCCCTTATTTAAATATAAAGAAGTCTTTTGCAAAGCACTCTTGAGAAGATGCCCTGCTTTAAAAAGGATCTGTTAGTGACGTTCCCCAAGAGACCCTCTGACTCCTTTGGGTCTATAGCATCTCATTAGGTAAATATTTTGCTGTAGACAACCAGACAATTGAAAACCTGCACTATTTAGGTCACCTGTGTTTCCTTCACATGGAGTCTGCAGAAGTCATTACTTTCTGGAAAAGCCTTATCTTCGTCATGACCTGTTTTAGTTGATAGTTCCATGCAGCCTGGATGTCTTGAATTCCCTCAGTTTAGGGTAGGTACGTGAGTGCTCTGTGCGTGAATGTTTTGCCTCACAGAACTCAGTGAAGGGCAGTATTTGATTCGAAGTGTGGACCACATGTCCTATGGCCCTGAATGCAATTAGGGACACTGGACTCAGGATGTGGATGTGGAGACGTGTTGACATCTACATATAGTCCTGTAGTTTTTCATCGTCATTAGAACATGACTGTGAAACACACCAATGGAGTCAGTTCAAAGCTGGGTGTGAAGATTGCTTTAGAAATATGAAAGCACCACAAAAATCTCTCTTCTCACTTATGTGTTTGGCGAACAGGATAATTCAACGATGGTTTTGTTAGAAGGAAATTTGAAAACCCTCTCCAGACTGCCCGTGCTCATTTCTTTTTTTAAGTAATTGCTGCCCTCTAGTGAGTCTTAATTTTATTTTCATAAAAAGGTGCATCCACCAGAATTCTTTTCAAGATGTAATTGATCATACATTTAAGACCATGCAATATTTGATAGTGTCTAACTTAAAATATAAAGGGGAATAAAGATTTGAAACACAAAGTGGTGGTCATAAGTGAAATAGGCTAAACAGCTGTAACAAGCATTTAGTTCTAATTGGGGAATACAGTTAAGCTTACACTTTGAGTCCAGGTACAATAAACCATGTTAATAAAGACATTGTATTTTAAGAGATAATGCCTGTTTAAGTCTTTGTAGAATTCATTGTAAACAGTAAGTCCTGTTTGAGTAAACATTAGTACTTTGATTTTAAAAAATCTAGGACTTGGGCTGCCAACATGATTTGGCAGGTAGAGTGCTTACTTACCCTGAAAAACACAGGCCGGGTGCATGCCTGTCACCCTAACACCTGAGAGGTCGTGGCAGGGTGACCCAGAAGTTCAGAGTCATCCTTCTCCACATGACAGCCTGCCTCAAAATGCCACCCCCAGAAACAAATAAAAACAAACAAAGTTTTAAACACTTCCCACAACCTAACAAAGGTCTCATAGGTAGTAGGTTGTTTTGAGATATATCATTAGTAAAACATTAGTAAAATAAGGAGTTTTTGAGTTGTAGGTCTCTTTTTCCCTGAGGTACTGGAGTTGAATCTAGATTCTCATACCCAGCAGGCGAGTACTCTACAACGGAGCTATAACTCCAGAACTTTGAGTAACACCAGTCATTTTTTTTTTTTTTTGATTAGCAATTTCTTTCTTTCTTTCTTTTTATTATTTATTTTTGGCTTTTCAAGACAGGGTTTCTCTGTGTAGTTTTGGTGCCTGTCCTGGAGCTCGCTCTGTAGACCAGGCTGGCCTCGAACTCACAGAGATCCGCCTGGCTCTGCCTCCCAAGTGCTGGGATTAAAGGCGTGCGCCGCCGCCGCCGCCGCCGCCGCCGCCGCCGCCGCCCGGCTTGTTTTAATTTTTAATTTTATTGTTTGAGTCGAGGTCTTACTGTGCTCTCGGTCTTATGTGGTCCAGGTTGGCTTCAAATTCGCAGTCCTCCTGTCTCAGCCTCCAGGGTGCTTTGTTTACAGGCATGTGCTACCACATCTGACTTAGAAGTTTCCTGATGAATAATGAAATAGTAGTATCTCAGTTAGTCAGGGTTTCTGTTGCTGTGAAGAGACACCATGACCACGGCAGTTCTTATAAAGAAAGCATTTCACTGGGGCTGGCTTACAGTTCAGAGGTTTAGTCCATTATTGTCATGGCAGGAAACACGCAGTAGGCAGGCGGAAATGGTGTTCGAGAAGGAGCTGAGAGTTTTACATCTTGATTAGCAAGCAACAGGAAGTGGCCTGACACTGGGTGTCGCTTGAGCATAGTAGACCTCAAAGCCCGCTTCCACACTGACACACTTCCTCCAGCAAGGCCATACCTCCTAATAGTACCATCCCCTATGGGCCAAGCATTCAAACACTTGAGTCTGTGGGGGCCGTTCCTATTCAAACCACCACAGTATTGCTTTTATGTCTTTAATGGTAATTATAATTAGGAAAAGATTTAATTTACCTCTTCTATAGTTGTTTAAAAACTAATATTGGTCTTAACCACAGGTTAGATCTAAAAGATATTTTGAACTTTGAAATATATAAATATATGAAACTTATCTTTTAAAAGTGGATTTCTTTGTTTCTTATTTGGTTTTGTCTATTTTATTACTTATCATATTGCTGAAAAATATTGTCTCTCACTAGTGGTACTGATGCGCTTTTGGAATTGAAGCCATTCGTTGAGGAAATCCTTCAAGGGAGGAACTTGACTTTGCCCTTCCAAGGGATCGACACTTTCCGCAGTCAGGTTGGCTTTGTGAAGCTGGCGGATGGAGATCACATCAACACACTTACGGAGATAGCAGGTAGGGCAGACAGCACTGTACTCCTGCAATCGCATGTGTGGTTTTCCAGTGGTTGTCATAGAGATTTGGTGTCTTTGAACTTGGAGGGCCAGGATAACCTCACTCTGCATGGGAACTGCTTCGGGTGTTGGTTGTTTCAGTAGTGGCTAAAAGTGTGGTAAGTTCTCTTGAGGGCACTGTTAATTCTGGAGCTTTCTAGAGAAGATACAAAACTGGATTCAAGCATGAACCACAAGTTCAAAGGGTCCCTTTGTTTTTCATGAGATTTGACTAAGATTGGCATTTGATAAGTATTGAATGAATGAATGACAGTCACCATGTTCCTATTCAGAGGCTTGAGGGAATTGTCACCGTTATTACAGAGAGTCAGTCAATGAATCAGCCACATTTCCATTTATATAGCTCCCTCTTCCTTTTTTGACTATGGTTTGCTGAGGAGAATGTCTGTTCCCGAGTGTCAAAGGCCACACATTTATTGGAGGTCATTTACAGCTGATACACTCAATTGCAGTACAGTGAGGACGGAATGGGTGGGTGAATTTTGAGTTTGACTGACAGATTGGGTGACTGACAGGTTGGGTGACTGACAGGTTGGGTGTTAGCCTACAAACTCCCAGCAGTGCTTGTAATGTTATCTTGTGCAATCATATTGTAGGGTCCCTCATCCTTGGTCTGAACACACTATCAGTGTTGGGTCTATACTTGGTTTACATTTATCTTTTGAGGTTTTGTTTCCCCCCCATCTTTATTCTTTTCTAATCCTCTTTTCTTTCCTCTCCCTCTTAACCACTCTACCTACTTTGTTTCTTCTCCTTTAAACCACCTATTTAAAAGAGAATTTAGCAACTGAACATCTAGGACCAAAATGAAAGTTCAGGTTCCAGCTAACTCTTGTCTTTACGGTCTCTCCCTTGGCCTGCCTCCATTTAATTTGGCTATCATCCTGAAGTTGGTGTCTATTATTTCCTTGTATTTCCCCCAAATATGTGCATATTTATTTTAGTTGGTTTTAACATAATAAAAAGAATACCAAGTTGTCTGTGACCTTTTAGGATATGCTTTCATTCTTCATATTATATTACCTCTGTGCATTAATAATTGCTTATTCAAAAGCACACTTTAGTGGAAGGGCGGGTGGAGTGGAGTCAGTTTTCACTGTTGGTTTTTCTTTTATGTTTTCTAGTATTTGAGGTTAGTGTTTTGTGAATGGCAGTGTTTTCATAGGGTTTCTCCTCACTCAGGTATCTGTTAAAATAGAATGGCATTAACAGCGGTGCCATTAGTACTGTCTGGCATATAGCTTCAGTTCATTCAGGTGCTATCCATTCAGGTGTATTAAACAAAGAGCCATAGCCGGGCGGTGGTGATGCATGCCTTTAATCCCAGCACTCCAGAGGCAGAGCCAGGCGGATCCCTGTGAGTTCAAGGCCAGCCTGGTCTACAGAGTGAGTTCCAGGATAGGCTCCAAAACTACACAGAGAAACCCTGTCTCAAAAAACCAAACAAACAACAAAAACAAACAAACAAACAAACAAACCCCAAAGAGCTGTTTATCTTTCAGTAAAAGATTTCTTTTATTTACTTGGAATATATTTTACATAAGAGCATTTTACCTGGGTTATGAATATAAAATTTGCTATTGATGTTATTGGTCAAACAGCCACATTCATCTTCACTAAGGTTTTGATAAATTTATTTTCTCTAAATTCATTTCTTTTACATAATGCCAGACTCAAGGAATTGCACTTGAGTGGAACTATTCATTACTTTAACATATAATTAGCTAGCACCGGGTAGGTGCTTGGGATAGTGAACTGAACTGAAATTCTTGGTCCTGAGAAGCAGTCTTATACAGGAACAAATGGGTGAGAGGGTGTGGAGGGACGTGGTGATTTTTATACCTAGAGGTGGGTGCAGAGTACTAAAGGCATACGGGAGACCCTTATGTATTGAAGTTTTCACAGGAGATAGAGCACTGAGCTGAGATTTGAAGGTACTTAACAAGCATTCTGGTTAAGAAAAATGAAAGAAGGCAGGCAGAGGAAGACTGTGTGCAAAGAAATCAAGACATCTTTAGGGACTCTCAGGTAGTTCAGTTTTTATCTTTAAATTTATTTATTATTTGGGTCTGTGTCTGTCTGTCTGTCTGTCTGTTTGTCTGTGTCTGAGTGTGGGACTGCATGTGCCACGCTGCGTGTGTGGAGGTCAAGGACAGCTTTGTGCAGATGGTTTTCTCCTCTCACTTTTACAAGGGCTCTGGGAATTCCACGCAGGCCACCAGGCCTGCACAGCCAGCGCCATCCTGCCTAAGCCACCCTCCCAGCCTGGAGTTCAGTTTTATTGGCGTTTAAATTGCAAACCCAGGAGAATCGGTAAAAGGAAATTCATACCATAAGGGAACACAGAAAGTGAAAAAAATCATTTTAGGAAAATGGTGAAAGCTTTAAATAGTGGTTAAGGGGAGTAGAGAGGAAAATTTTATGAAGCAGTATATGATGGGATGGCAGATCAGTGCAAGTGTGTTTAGGACGACATTCCAGAGACTCATCATTTCTTATTTTCTTGGGTCTATTCTGAGCATGGAATGGAGAGAGGAAGCTGAATGAATGTATACTTGATCCTTACGTGCAGAGGTATTAAAAAGAGCATGGGCACTGGGCAGAGAGTGCTGGACAGTGTCCGATGCTGTGTTACCTAATTTCTATTCAGATGTGAAATAAAGCGGGATGGTGTTGGGATGAGTGCTGGACGGTGTCTGATGCTACGCTATCCAGTTTCTATTAGAGAAAGAAATAAAGTCGGGGGAGGTTGATATTGCAAGACTGGGGCAAGAGGTCTGGAGATTAGTGTTAATAGAAAGAAGCCTACCAGTGAGAAAGCTGTAAGTGTGAGTGATGGCCAGAGAACACTATATTGAATTTTGAGAGTTCAGGGGAATTGATCGTAACAGAGGCTAATGGAATCTTCTCCCTCTATTTTCACAAAGAGGAGCAAGTGATAGAAATTCAAAGACCAAAATGATTAAAGCTCATTGTAGAGTTCAGTAAGGTTACCAGATAAAGTATCAGTATAAAAATATGGTAGATAATGGAGGCCAGTAAGATGGCCGGGTGGGTCAAGGCGCTTTCCACCAAGCCTGCCTGAGTTGGATCCTCTTGGCTCACATGGTAGGAGAGAGCTGACTCCTGCAAGTTGCCCTTTGACCTCCATATAGTCACTGTGCTCAAGTGTGAGTGTGTGCACATGCCCACATGTAAATAAATGTAAAAAATAAAAGGAGATACATTGAAGTACCGAATTTTCTAATGGGCCGTCATTGATAATGGCAACGAAATCATAAGAATGCGAACAACCTACCCTAGGATATGTGCTAGCCTTTTGTGGAGAGAATATTTTAACTATATCTTTGCTAGGTGAATTTGTCAGATGCTTTCTTCATTTTTCCCTTTTCTTTTTCATTTGTTGTGAAAACATCTCTTAACACTCCATGAGAAATACATTTCTAGACTAAACCAGACCATCAGCAAGTTGCATACTTACTTGCATAAAACCGTGTCTTTATAGAAGGGATAAGGCAAAGTTGCTTTAAAATGTTTTGCCTTCTTTTTAAGACTTTATAAGTACATGATTTATGGAAAGTTTACTTATGTATTTAAAAGTAAATGTGAAATAACCAAAAAAGCTGATTGGAAAAATTGTTTTTTTAAATATATTCTTGTTTTAAGACAGAGTCTCATGTAGCCCAGGCTGGTCTCATATTCACTTTGTAGTTGAGAACATGCATCACCATGCCTGGGTTATGGGTGCTCAGATTGAACCAGTGTGTGCTAGTCAGATCCTCTACTAACTGAGCTATATCTCCACCCCAACCAGAATTTATTTTTTAATTTCAGTTTCGAAACTGGGTTCTTTAAATTTTTTTTTTTTAAAAAGAACAGGCTTCTTGTAATTTGGTTTTTTAAAAAAATTCTTATTTCATGTGCATTGGTGTTTAGCCTGCATGTATGTCTGTATGAGGGTGACAGATTCAACTGGAACTTGAAATACAGACCGTTGTGAGCTGCCTTGTGGGTGCTGGGAATTGAACCCTGGTTCTCCAGAAGAATAGCTTGTGCTCTTAATTACTGAGCCATCTCTCTGATCCCAACAAATCATTTTTTTTTTTTTTTTTTTTTTTTTTGGTTTTTTCGAGACAGGGTTTCTCTGTGTAGCTTTGCGCCTTTCCTGGAGCTCACTTGGTAGCCCAGGCTGGCCTCGAACTCACAAAGATCCGCCTGGCTCTGCCTCCCGAGTGCTGGGATTAAAGGCGTGCGCCACCACGCCCGGCTTCCAACAAATCATTTTTGATATGATGCTATTGGATGATTAGCTCATGCTTCCTGAGACAGAAAGGCTCTGCTGTCAGAAGGCTTAGGCTTTAACTTATTTTAATTTAGACTGCAGGACACTTGACCTGTCTTTCTTGTTCGAGTCCTCCTTTGTTTCTTTTCCCTTATTTTCTCATCATTTATCATGCTATCCAGTTCTTTGGAGTCATCTTAAGCCCTGTTTTAGGGTAGGGTACACTGAAGTATGCACAAGCAACCATTCAAACAATAACACTTCGAAGCCAAGTAGGATGTAAGAAGCATTAGCTGGCCAAAGGGAAGGCATGTCTAAGAGCTTTGAGGGCAGAGCATTCCAGAATTGATGCCCACAGTCAACAACCCTAATGTATTTTTTTTCTGACTGACTACTCAAGAGAAAATGCTAGACCTAAATCTTTTCTTTTGTAATATAAATATCACTGAAACATTTCTAATTAGCCATTCAGTCATTGTCCTTTTCAATAATTCAATGGGTGCTTGCAACATTAAGAATTCCATCCATTCTCTGCAAATCTTCTCACAAAAGTATTTTCCAGCATTGATGAAAGCTCCATTGTGTGGTGAAGAATGTGAAATCTCACCAGCTTTAATGGGAACAGGAACCGATGGATGTTCATTTGTCATTTTAGCAAA